ATTACCCTAAAGAACCTCTTGAAAGAAACAAGATTAAAAATAAAAAGTCTTAAGAAAAAAAGAAAAAAAATTTAGTCAAACAAACTTTCCCCTTCAGGTCTACATTTTTACGCGAAAAAAAATCTGCAAAAGAGTTAATTTCACAAAATCACTGAGCTATTGTCTACTAAATTATCTTACAGTATTTGACAATTTTTTCTAAAACCATGCCATTTTTTTCAGTTGGATACCTTGAAGTAGTCCACAAACGCAATCACAGCTTCGGTGTTGGCAAAGTGTTTTTCAAAGAAAGGGTCGGTTAAGTTAAAGTCTCGTTGATAGGACGGCAATATAACCTTCAGAAAGAACTTATTTTTTTCTATAGCCTTTGTTCGAGTAGAGTCCGTTATTCTCAAGGGCATGTAGGAGATGTCGCGAAAGTGATGACACTGCATCTCTTGAAAATAAAAAGTTCAAGTGGAATAAAAAAAATATATTTTTTGCTTTAGTGACCTTCCGCCAACACCATGAACACGCTCTTTTCGCAAAAGCTCATTTACTTCAAAAATCTTTTATGCTAAAAAAGCAGTTCTATTTCTTTCAGGATAATAAGTTATATAATTTAAAGCATAAAAGTTTATAACTGGATAAATTAGTCAGCAACCATAACAGACGCTTACCAAATCTAGTTTCTTTTCTGCTGTCGTTGACGACGTTTTTCTCCGTTAGGGTAGAGAGAGACAAGCCGTGTGCGGAAAGTGTCATTATGAACAAAATACTAACTGCTGAAATAGAAATGAAGCAGACAGCATAAGAAAAGCTCCACTTTAAAAACCTTTTTTCGACAAAGTGGTATGACAAATAGCCGAGAAAAAGAGACAGTTCGGAAGCAATAACTGCATCTGAAAACTAAAGAGTATTTATACGCCGAGATATATACTGTATAGCTCTTCAGAAAATCAATCGTAGATGGCAAATTTACAAACAACATGAATGTCTACAAAGGCAATTATTAATTGAAAAAGTATTTCTTAAACGTTTCACTATCAAGTAAAACAAGATAAGTGAGTTAGTGTTTACTAAAATACCTGCAATTTGCATTGTATCTGTATAATACATTACAAACGTAATAATTGGCCAGTGATAAAGGTAGACAGAATATGAGATTTCTCCGATGAAATAAAGATATGAATTGCCCAGAACGAAATTACTAGTGAACTCATTTCCAAGATAAATCACTGTGGCAGCTCCAAGGGTACAAAGAAGACGAAGAAAAGTTACGTGTAATGGTAACATAAAAGCAACTGGTGATAAAGAGAACAATCCAGCGACAAGAAGTGGGGTATTTTTAAATCCTTCAAAGAAATTTATAAAATTGAGAAAAACTTGAATTTGCAGATATTTGGCATAATACTAGCTTACTCTTTTCTTTTTTTATTTTTAAGCAAATTTTAGTTGGTATTATAGATAACTATATTTTTACATACCGTTTGGAAGAACGTTAACTGCTCCACCACATATAAATTGCCATATTCGGCTC